ATATTTCAGGTAACGGTAAATGCACACCGGATGTGCCACGCCTACTTCAAAAATTTCAATTTGTCTGTGATGTTGTGTACATTGTTAAATAATGTTAAAAATTTCAAGTGTTTACAATCATTAGATCATGAGATATTCGTAGTTAAAAGTTTTTTTTAAGGCAACGGTGACTGTCGGTAGATTAAAGTCACTAGATATGAGCCTTAATAGTTTTGACAATTACTGAAAACATAAAACCGGAAATAAAAAAAATACAAAGCCAAAATTCAAAAATCGGCTTCCCATGTTTTGTTAGCAATCGATTGTAGTTTACATAAACATCAAATTTACGCACATCCAATTTTACCCTGAGGCCCCATTTTGAGTTTTATAAAAATGAGTCATATCAAGATGGCGTCTTACACAATACTTCCGGGTCAAATTTTTTGATTCCAAAATTGTTATAGGGACAATTTTAACTAATTTCAAAAATAATTTTTCAAATACCTACAAAATTCCGGAAGTTGAAATTTCAAGTTTAGGGGCGAATGACGTCAAAACCGGAAGTGATATCGAAATTTTGAAAATAAATTTTTGTCAGGAATCAAAATGCTTATCTACTAATAAATTTTTAGACCGATTGAAATTGTGGAAGTTTAAAAAATGCTTTAAATAAAATCTCCAAAAGTCAGCGACAAAAGTCAAAATTTGAAATTTCTTAAATTGCTATCTTTTAGACATTAGTTCAAAGTAATGAACAAAACAAAAAATTATGTTCAAAATAGATTCAGAATAATAGCAGGTATTGGAAAGACGTAATGAACGGTTAAAGTCCTACGTCATTTTACATTTAAACAATAGCGACACGCTAAGTATAAGAGATAATGATGTCAGATAATCTGTGGTATGTGCAGTTTTGGCTGGGGAGCGTGACCAGAAGTAGACAAAAAAAAAAAAAAAAAAAATAGTCATTTCGAAAACAAGCCTGTTTCTAATCATTTCAACCTCGACGACCATTCAATAGACGATCTCAATCTAATCCCAATTGAGCGTATAGAAATTGACTTGCCCGAAGATGAAACTACCAAATTCCGTCAATCTAGGGAGGCCCATTGGATTGAGACATTGAATACAGCAAGACCTATAGGACTAAATATTCATCATAATGTAGGCATAGCACCCTTTGTTGTCCCGTTTAATACAACCAGTAATCGAGCAAGCAAGATAGTTCATGCCCACTATAAGAGCCTTCAAGAGAAATTCCCCCATGTCTATAAGCAGAAAATGATAGTTGCATATTCAAAAAATAAGAACTTAAATGATAATATTGTTCATAGTAAACTAAAAACAATCAGTACATAACAGATACTATACTTCTCGCCCATCGGGCGAGTTATTTTTTCTAATTTCAGGTCAGAATAAGAACAGCAGAAAACCCAATATCAAGACCCTTAATCCTAATTTCTAAATAAAGTGTCTGCTCCACCCTAGGCCTGTACATTTGGGAGAATCGAACCCTCCCTTCCCCGAAATCTAATGATAAGATAAGTGTAGAAGATTATATTCGATTAGCTAGTGGACATGATGTGACGAATGAATTTAAGAAACCATGGGAAAAAAATGCACCAATGGAGTAGTTATTCCAAAGAATGTTGATAAACAAATGAAAGTTTTCAGAAGTTATCTGAATCTCGTTAAGAGAAAAGCACCGGACGATGAAGGAATCGTGTATCCTTATGGTGATAAAGATGAATTGAGTTTGGATGAAAACTATGAATTTGATGATTTCGATTATCTAACTATTCAAGAAGAGAATGAAGAGTGTTTAATTACTCAATAAATTTAATTTTTTTGTTTTAAATGAAGTTGAATAACATTTCCTCGTTACCAAAATCTATAAACCTATTTTTACCATCTTTGATTTCCAGATTTATATCTTTAATCATAAAGGAATTAAGTGGTAAATATCTTGTTTGAAATGGTTTCTCTATAATTCTATATCCAATCGGTACAGTGAATGTAGGAAGACTGTAAATAATCTGACGTTTGTATTTATTGAAAAATCCACCGTTTATCAAATTGCAATGTATATTTATCACATCAATATCATTCTCGATATTAGCTTTGTGTGGTGCTAAAGTGGATTGCGTGTATATTTTATGACGTTATACCTTGTCCAGAAACCATATCTTCAAATTTTTCTATTTCTTGTCCAGATACCACATTTTCGAAATCGTCTATATCTTGTGTGAATGAATTGTTGTCTTCAACATTTTGTATCGATTATAAATTCGGGGGAATTTGGCTTAAATCTTATTCTAAAACCATTAAACATTAACCCACTTCATCAACGATTGATGAGATGCTCTTTGGTAAATCTGGGCTAGGGTTTGAAAAAAGACGTTTTATATTATCAAAGGTCCTAATTATAATACCACCATATTCAATCGGTTTGGGGTGATGAGGTGTGGGTTCTAAAGCTAATTTCTTTTTAATATCCTCTTGAGATTTTAATATTGGTTGAAATAGAGTTTGTAGATTTTCTGTTAATCCAAGTTGTTGTATTGTTATTTTCAACTTGGGTCTTTATTTTATTCTTAGCTTTGATATATTCTCTATTTCTTTTTAAAATATTATTCCAATTATCCATTTTAAAAAGAAATAAAATTAACATATGTCGATCATAACTCTTTCACCCGCAGGTTTTCTAGTATTTACAAATACATATCCATGATCATCTGGATTTCTCCATTGAGCTTTACAAACGTTTTTAAATGTATCTCTGTCCATTCTGTGATTTATCGAGTGAATGATTTGAGATAAATCTTTATCGTTTAATTCGAATAATAAAAAAAACAATTTGCATTTTTTCTAATAAACATAGAATCCATCCCATAAAAAGATTGGGATTGCAGTGACGGTTGTGATGTCTTCCTTTCGTAAAGAATTCTTGTTGAACAGCTTGATTTCTTTGCGCTACGCAGTCTTCAAACAATATTAAGTTCTTTCGATTGCTATCAATATTAGACAAGTCTAGATCATTAACATTTTTCGTAAGGAAAACTTTTATATCCGTTGGATTCTTTGATTTAATGAAGTTTTCTATGGTATCTTATTTCCACTTCTTCGTTTTCTTCATAATATTGAAATATGTCTTGAACATCTTTCTTTGGTAAATATTCTAAAGCTTTGAGAAATTGATAATATGATTGCTCTGGTGTTGTTGTGTAGATATATAGTGAATCGAAATCTAAAAGGTTTGGTGTTGTCAACATGTTAAAAGTGAGATGAGTTTTCCCAGAACCGGAACTTCATATACACATAAGCATTGGGTTATCAGGAAATATTTCTGAATGTTTGAATTTCTTTCCCATTTTTTATTATATTATTTTGTTCCAAAAATCACTCCTTCTCCTTTATACTTTGAAAGAAATAATCCTTCTCCAGTGCGTATGTTTTTTAAGAAATATTTCAATACCCTAATGTTTGACTTTGACTTCTCCTGTGTCAATACTATCTACTAATTTATTTAATCATTGTTTTAACAGTTTTCTTGGTTTCTTCCCCAAATCGTTTTTCAAATTCTTTTATTGTGCCTATCATATATCCCACTCCTGAATCTTTTTTTTTTTTACAGTAGCTGCTTTATGTGCTTGCTTTTCCATTTCTAAATTGTGTCTATGTTCTTCGGCAGCTTTTATTTTAGCTGCTTTATCTTCGTTGGCAGTACATACTCCGGCAGCAATACCTCCAGCTATTGCACCCGCCGCGGTAAGACCACGGAATATTAAAGGTAGTAGGAAAGGTAAAAATCCACCTTCCTTTGCGTTGGCGTTAATTCTTTCTAGGTCTATATCGTCTCTGACTTTACAATATTTGTATTTATAAACAAGTTTTTTAGTTATGCTGATTTTTTTTACCATTGAAAGTTATTACAGTTGGTGAAGCTGTTTCAATAGCTTGTATTATTTTCATAACTAAAGTTTCTACTTTCATTTTTAAGGGGGTATTTTTTACTCAATTCCTATCATTCTTCTATCTGATACTTTAATTAAATGTTTTGCTTCTTCGGGTAGTAAACAATACCCGGTCACATCTCCTTGTGTTTTTTTAATATGAACATTTATGTTCACTCCTGTTTGGAAATGATCTTCTGGGTGAGCTGATAGATCAAAACATAAGATTGGATGATTAAATGCAAAATCTACATATTCAAGGATGGATTGCCAAATAATTCACACATGTTTTATAGTTTCTCTACGATTCATTATAATCCTTTGTGGTTGGATTAATTGTAAAAGGTTGGTGAGGATAATTATCGTTGTTTAATCTTACTTGAACTTTATGAATTATAGGATCTTGAGTTTGGTTCATTGCTACTCTAAAGATATTATTGTTATTCGTCTGAGAGTCTGGTAAGTTCTTGAACCCAACCATTAAATATCTTGCTGGATTAATAGTGTTAGTGATTGGCCATGTGGTGGATTCTCCAGTTAAAGTCATGCTACCTACTGTATTACGATGAAGAAAAACTATTTCAATATCTTTAGTTAATGAGTTGAATATTCTCGTTTCTACTTCAATTGATGGTGTTATTACGGGTATGAAAAATTGGAGATTTGTTATTTCTAATTTCGCATCTGAATCATTCTCTCCAAAGAATATCTAATCGTCGTTGATTTCTCTTTGTAGATGAATTTTATATGGTAAGCCTATGGAAACTTTTCTGTGTTCCAACAGACCGAATAAAGGATATAATTTCCAATTTACGTAATTACCCCATCTATTATTCTCAACAATATTATTGTACTGAAGTACTCGCTTTTCGAATCCATGATTAACTGATCGTCCTACTCTTTCTATCGTGTTTCGAGCAACAACTCTCACTCTAGCTAAATCGGCATCATTTGCAAGATTTCTTACCGTTTCTTTTAAAACACTTCCATCGCCAACATCGGGTATCCAACCTGAGACTGAATCGAAATCTTTAGGATATAAAACTGTTTTCAACATTGTGTCGAATTCCCCAGAGTGTTTAATTGTTTCTATCGGATTTGAACCAGCTTCCAAAACCATCTCACTAAATAAAGATGGAAAGAATTTGTTTTCTAACGTTGTATTTGTTTGTGGTACACGATGTTCATCGGAAAGAAGCAACCAATTCGATAATGAATTTATTTCGAAGGTAATTCTACCACCATCATTCAATTGGAATTTAGAACCAACAGTTGGTGAGATGATAATATAATCCTCTTTTTTCTTGTTAAATGAATAACGAATCGGATCGTATAATCTAAAGATTGGATCTAGTATATTATTTGCCATTTTTAAGGTTTAAGAATTGAGTAGAAAATTGTGGTCTGTTGTTTTTTTTCCAAAAAAGAGTTATCTTCCTTCTAAAAGTTTCTACATGATTAAAACCGGATGTTAGCGAAACAAGGAAGTTATTTTATATAAGGTTATTTTTAATATGCTTTTTTCGTTTAATTTAATGAAATTTAGGGTGAATAGGTTCTTTTTTGGGGTGGGGGTTGATGGAATGTAGGAGTGGGAATTGATTGAAGGTGTTTTTGGTGTAAGAAGTTATGAAATGTAGGGTGTTTAGGTTTTTTATAGTGTAAGGATTTATGAAATGTAGGGTGTTGAGGTCTTTTTTAGGGACCTTTCAATATGATCGCACTTTCCCCATGCGACCATATTGAAAGGTCTAGTACTACTATGCAACAATGCGATCTTCGTCCAAGGAAGTAACAAATAGATGGAGATATCGTCAAAGGCTAGTGAATAATTTTTGGAATACGTGGAGCGAAGACCATCCAAAGATTACATTTATTGGAAGTTTATCCATAAAGTAAATTTATTGTGAAATGTGGAAGATACATCGAATAACTCTAGTCTGTAACATCCTCTCCCCAGATACAGACTCATTACCGTGTTCTGAAGTCGCCGAGTTATGTCCTTTTAGTTTAATCTTTGTTAAATAAGTTAGTTTTTAGTTTTTGGTGTGAAAAGTTTGTGAAGTAAAGTTTATACTTTAAAAAGAGTTTTCTGTTTAAAAACATGAACATACAAGAATAATTTGCAATAAAACAAGCCCGATAAGGGACCAGATGATATGGAAAAGTTCTGGAATATGATATTGATAACAACTAGATGGTATATGATATAGATAAGATATAGATTCGCGTGTGATGGAGAACAGTAGCTGATCAAGTGCAGTGACATTAACTATTTTTCTGATTTATTACAAATTGTGATTAAGTTTAGTATAGTCATTTTCATTTGGATCCATTAAGTTGGTAATTATTCATATTTAAGTTTTATTAACTAGTTTGGATTGACATCTAATTTTTCAAAATTTTGTTTGGCTCAAAATATTTTCTTAAGAGAATATTTCATTTCGCATTTTAAAATTATTTTCTTTGGCAATATATTTCGTTTAATCCAAACTGTTAAGTTACTATTTTGTTTCTCAAATATATTCATGTACATTCATATACATATACATATAATTTATACTTAGATTTATGGTATAGGCCTCATTAATACCTCAACCATTATCCATTTGTGTTCACATATTTGAATTTTGTTTTGATTTTGTGGAATTAAGTCGTTTATTTCTGTGTCTTCTGCGTATTTCTTTTCTGTTTCTGAACTTGCTTTTCTGATCCTTGTCTCTTTCTTGTCACTGTTTACACTTTTACCTGTCTACTTACATTAATGCACATGAATTGTAATTTATGTGATTATGTCGGAATTTATTGTCTTTGATATTCCAGTTCTGTGTCGAATTGTTAATATCAAGTTTTTATGTGTGAATGCTTGAAGTGGGAGTGTTGAGTTATTTTGTATTTATTTGGATTTTTTTGTTCTACAATGCTACATTGTGGAGTTTGTGTATTGTGCTGAATATTTTGCGGATATTGTGTTTGTGTTTATATTTGCATGGACATCGTGTTTGTTCTTATATTTTGTGATACTTACCTGTGTTATTTTGTGTTCAAAATTATTGAATTCAATATGGCTATTGGAGGTTTAGGTGATATACCCCAGTCTATACTGGATGATGCCTTAACCAGGGAACAGCAGGAATTAGTAGATTCCTTTACTAAACTGGGAATGATGGGTGTTATACCCAAGATACACACATCCCAGCAGTTGAGTGACTGGATGTTTGGTTATTTACAGTCCTAGGGTGTTAGACCTGTTCATTCTGATAGTAGGAATGAAGGTAAACATCGAAGCAGTAGGTTAATAGATATCCAACCACCAGTAACACAACCCAGAATGAAGTTGACCTACACACAACCTCCTAGGATATCCTATTTCTCTGGTGATTCTAGTAGTAAGGACACTCCAATCGATCTTTGGCAGTTTGAGGTTAGGAGTCTGTTGAAAGACAGACAGTATGAACCGGAAGCGATTAAGACTGCAGTAATTAAATCACTTAAGGGTGAAGCTGGACGTGTGGCAATGAGACTTGGCCATTCCTCAACTACAGGTTCGGTTAGGTAGAGGAAGGTCAGTCTCTATTGTTACAGTTTTATTCAGCTAATCAGCAGGCTGAGGAGACAGTTTCAAAGTGGGCTTGCAGGATTGAAGATCTGTTAGACAAAGCTCGTCAGGAGAATGAGGTTGATTCAGAAACGTTTGAAGCGAAACTTCGTTCGAAATTTTGGAGTGAACTGCGACAGGAACTCAAGGATCGTTCTGCACATAAATTTGATCGCATTACAGACTTTGACGATTTGCTACGTGAAGTCAGGAAATTGAGAGGGATTCTGTCAGTGAATCCAAGACAGCAAAGGCTACTACCAAAACGCATAATAAGATGGTACAACCAGATGAGGATCTAAGCGGCATCATTGTCAGTTTTAACAACATCATTCAAGGATTTGAATGGCGAGATTAGCCAGTTGAAAGAACAGTGTCAATCTTATGGTATTCTGGCTGCTACAGTCTTTGCACTTCAGAAGGAGGTCAAGGACTACCGTTTACACCTTTGTCTGATGGATCAACACCATCGGCACAGAAGATAACCTGTTACCATTGTGGTCAGGTGAGTCATATTGCCATTGGTTGTAGGAACCCCAAGAGGTCAAACTAGAGAGTGTCACTGATGAGGGACAATCAGCTGACAGGTCTAGATCCAGTCCCAAGAAAGAATTGATAGGACATAGCAATACCACTGCTGTAGAGATAAATAGAAATAACACTTCTGGATTGTCAGATACTGGATCTACCATCTAGACAGTATCTCCGTCTTACTACGAGGTTTATCTTGAGTCAGATTCTTGCAGGTTGACTCCTTTATATGATATACTTATTATTGGTGCAGGTGGGGAAACTTTGCCTTATCTTGGGTGTATTCCGGTTTCATTAAGGATTGAGGTTGAGATCATCTCATTTGGACTGTCTGTTTTTAGTTAAGTAATAAGCCAACACCAGTTTTGCTTGGTACAAACATTTTGAAACCCCTTATGGACCAGCACTCGGAGAGTCGTTTACCCATAGACTCTTTGCCTGATGTGTGGTCCTTTAAATTTGCATGCAGGTCAACTCTCTGGTAAATTATGATATGTAAGGTGTGTGGAGGATAAATCAGTTATCATTGGCAGCAATAGATCTGGGTAACTTTTGGGTGAAATCGGCAACATGTCGGTGCCTTACAGGCAAAGGGTTTTCTTTCAGATGATTCAGTCTTTCCCGCTGGGATTGAAGTGACTCTTACTCTGATTGAGGTAAACCCAGGTGTGACTAAGCAAGTTGTTGTAAGACTTTCCAATCTGTCTTTATCACCAGTTTGGATCTTTCCACACATCATTCTGTGCGAATTGCACGCTGCTGACTTAGTGAAGAGAGTTGCAGTGGATACTATTTCAGCAACTAGTCCAACGGAAGATCTTTTAGATAGTGGAGTCATTGAAAGGAGTCATAGTCCTTATGCGTCACCGATTTTACTGGCCTGGAAAAAGGACAATTCACTTCGAATGTGCGTGGACTATATGGAATGCTCAACAACAGGACTGTCAAGGACGCATATGCTCTTCCACGTATTGAAGACACTGAAATCCAAAATGTGTATAGAATGTCATCAACTAAGACAACTATACTAGTGTCTCTTGGTAAACCAGCACAAAAACAGCATACTCAGCAATTCCGGAAAACACGACTGAAGTCACGGGGAGCTATCCGAAACTCTGGTGGAATACTTGCTCTAATAAAATCAGATATATCGAATAGTTTTACAACGCACCAAAGCGTATCCAAAAACATTCTGTGGTTAATTGTTAAACTTGAAGTTTGTGTGATGATTATGGGTGTTGTCTACTTTTCTCCCCCAAACTCATCCACCTATTCAGATGAACCTCTTTTTGATATTTTAGACGACGAATGTTCTCGACTACGAAATATATATCCTGTCATGTTATCATTCAAGGTGACCTTAACGCACGTACAGGTGACGGCTGTGCAACTGATATCATACCAAATGACGACCCTAAATACTTACCGATCGATGACGATCTTGAATACGCTACAGAATGTGATTTCCCACGTAAATCACAAGATAAAATCATTGACAATCGTGGTAAACAATTGTTGGAATTCTGTAAGATAAATTCACTGCGAATATGTAATGGAAGACTCCAGACTGACAAAGATTTTGGGAAAATAACCTGCTTCGCAAATAATGGACAGAGTGTTGTCGACTACGTATTATGTGGACAGGAAACTTTGGAACTTTTTTGTCAATTTGATATCTTACCAGAGATATAACACACACACATGCCGATTTCATACGAGCTTAGTATTGAGATGGAACGGGAATCGAACTTAAGTAAATTCTTCAATTCTCACAAATATAGGCTAATCTGGGACGTGAACAAGCGCGAAGAATACGCACAAAACTGGGAATCTCTTAGCTCTCAAATAGACAATATATATCAATGTTCTGATGTCCAGGTAGCTTATAATGAGTTCTCTAAACTAGTGCATACAACCGGAAGATGTTTTAAGTCAATATTACCTACGTCTAATAAAGCGAGAGACAACCATTGGTTTGACCTTGAATGCCAAGAAGTGCGACTGGAAGCTAGAAACGCAAAGTCTCTGAGTTGGATAGTTTTATCCGTCCAGCAATGAAAACATCAGCTGTCGACGCGAATATTAGATCCCTCAATCGGACATGGCTCTGTAAGGTTACGCAGGTCCTGATCGACCATTACCAAACCACACTTCAAGAGAAGCTGACCACCATTCGTACCAATTCTTTATCATCACCTGCCATCGACCGCATCGTTTCTCATGCCCTGTCCTGGGCCCGT